ATACGAAAACATAAATGTTTTATTCTTTCACATAGTGTGTAAAGTTGTTTCAATTAGAAATGTTATTATTTATAATGTTTATAATGTTATAATGTTCTACTATTGCTAATGTGTAATTTATAATGTTTTACTATTATATATATTTATTATTTTGAGGACTTTTTCTAAAACAATTATTTAAAAATTCTATAATAAAACAGTTATATATCGTGTAAAAGCATTTCTGTCTTCGTGAACGTAAATATTATTCATAGGAATTCGAAAAAAGTTGAAATTGAACTTGGATGCTCTCCCTCGCGTATGCGGGAATGCTGCACGAAAAATGCAATAAAGTAAACTATACAGCAAATCTATGTGTTTTATGTAACAAATATTGTATATGTGTATGGAACATATAGAGACAACTGTCATGTCGGAGTTGCAGTGATCTCAAAAGTGTAAGTGACTGAAATTACTTAAAGTATGTATAACTTGAAATATTTCTGTATTAAATTATTTGTTTGAAATACATTACAAAATTTTTAATGGAATATTTTACTTTGAATCCTCAATTTCCAGTTATGGTTCGGAACATAAAGTTTCTGTAGAGCTTCTATTAGACATTCCAAGTTTTTATTAGGTAGATATAAAGCACTTCCTGCTTGTTAGTCCATGTAACAAAAAGGGCTTGGTATTGTGAGAGTTAAGCACGCCATGCACGCATACATAATTGCATTCGGTAGAGCATGTCAGAATATGGTTATAAATAGTCCAGTCATTCTATACTAACATAGGACATTATGGAAATATTTTTATCAACCTAATTTGTTACATGCCCTTTTACTAAACTGTTACGAATACTGTATTAAATACCCCACGGTTATCGTTTAACGCCACTAACGCCAGTTTTTCATAAATATTTCAGAAACTGTTGAGTTTACTGAAAAATAGATACTATAAAAAGTAAATGTAAAACAATTCTCAACAAAACAGTATTATTTTTTTGTATATTCAATAGTAATTGCAAATCTGAGTCCAGAGTTTAGAATTCAATGTTGTGTTTGATGTTATATTGATTACACAAATAAAAATTTCTTTATCTTTATTTATAATAAAAATCATTTTTGCATAAAAAGTAATAATTATAAAGACTGAATATAGAAGTAGAAAGGACTATATTAACAGAAAATACATATATCAATGGAGGCTTGACATTATAAAGCAATTAAATTAAATATCTACCAATCTAAAACCAAGCACAACATTTCATCAAATCCCGCCAAATAAAAATATATGCAATTAGGTTGATAAAAATATTTTTCATAATAAAAATCACCAGTTTTGCAGAGTTTCTCTAATTCCACATCTCCCTTTCACTCAAGAATTCAAGCCCGGACATTTCTCATGTTCTTATCCCATCCAAATGCCACTGCAATTTCTAACACAATACACGTATAAACGTAATCAAACACAGCCTGGGCTAATACCGGTCCCTTTATACGACCCTGCCAGAGCCTCGTGCGGCTAATGTCGCGATTCCAGCGAGATGAAACAACAAAACGACACGGCACGTTTGGTATAAACAACGCCGTAAAAGCTTCCGCGAACGCGTTGAAATTTTTCGAAGCTTAAGACGAACGCGAAACGAGGTTACGGGGTGCTCTCTTGCGCCACTCGCGAATACCATTCTCGTAAACGAAACGGTTCCTTACACACCCCCGCCGCGTTCGATGACTTGAGGTCTTTACGACCGATTAAGCTCGAGGGGCAAATGCCCGCGTCAGAAGTAATTCACAAGTCGGTTTTAAACTTCCCCATGCACTGGGTGATTTGCATTCGTTTAATGCGTAAAGAATACCGAAGTTTTGTTGCGAAATAGAAATTACCGAGGCGAAAGGAAGTTGCCCGAAGTTTTCGTAGTTTTAAAATCGGTAAGTAATGACCGTCGAAGGAAACAACGCGTGATCCGGAAAAAATTAAGGAAAAATTTCGTTACGTATTCGCGAAACGATAAAGTAAAGATAACATCTTCGGCAACTTCGCCAGTGGATATCTTCTAGTAGTTTTAGGAAACGGGGAAAATAAAATTATCATTGGAATACTTTATTTTAAGGGGTCGTCGTTCTTTCTTGGTTTGCAGTGCTCTCACGTTTCCTGCATTTTTGCGCCGAGGAGAACCTCTGGAAACCAGAAAGACTCAGGATTTTCGAGGCACGCGAGTTGTTGGGTCTTTCGAGAGTTCTGAAGACTTGCAAAAATGTTGGAATATTTGGGAAACCTTACTTATCGACCTCATTCATTACGATTCTTGACTATGAACGTTCTTCGGACTTTATAAATATTATAATTACAGGACTCCTCACAAACCTTGGCGTTCAACCCTTAGCCAAGCAAAAGTTTTATGGGAAATTATACTTTTTTCATTTCCTTTGTAGTGTTGCAGCTTTCCCAAATAATGAAATTCATTTATGATGTGTAGATTGCTACTGTTTAAAACTGGTTCTCATTCCAATAAATGAATATTTGTATAAAAATCCTTGTCTTTTGTTTTATGGCTAAAAAAAAACTGAACTTAGTAAGCTCTGCTTCTTTGTGCCTATTGAATTGTTTATAACCCAAAAAAATTTTGCAAGGTTCTTATTTTATTTTCCAAAGTACGAATAAACAGGACTTTGCTGTTACTCACCCCCATGGAATATTTAAGGAAGAAAGCATTGGATCGATATCTCGGCTACCGTCGATTCCTATGGAATATTTGCGAGGACTAAGACGAAAATTAGAAATACAATTCGTACGAAATCATGCTGTGTACACTGCAAATTTTTTGTTGTTGAAACGAGATATCGGGCGTAGGTTTATAATTGGCACTCCCCACAAGTATCCTTGCTGGCGAGAACTTTACGATATCATGTAGCTTGTTAGATTTTAATTCAGGTTACCTTATATATTCGCTTCGAGTTTCAGTGCAATCACTTTAATCGTTTCCCCGTGATGCGGTAACAAACAGACAGAGTTGCACTTTATTTATGTAGAAGGTGATCCAGCAAAAGAGGTACAAGAATTTACAGGTAGAAGTGCAGGTTGACACCGCTATATATTTTTTCGAGTAAAATGCCATTTTTACCGTACAAAAGTATCAAGTTTGCTTCCGAAGTGGATGGTAGGTGTTTTGGAAATCTTTTATGGAAAATTGAAATAGAACTCACTTGAAATAAAGCTTCGCTTTTCTTTCCATCGGGATTTTCATGGAAAACAAGAAAAACGAACGAAAAACGAGAGATCTATGTTGACTGAATATTCCTTGACTGATTTTACGAACAGTAGACGCGTCTAAATTCTTCGACCTCGTTTTTAGATCACCCTCTATAAATTTTATATTCGTAAAGTATACGGTACCACGAGTGCACTTTGTCAGTGGACACCTTCACTTCTGCACTAGATATTTCGTAAAGAAATATTTCATTTCTCAAGAAATAGTATTTCATAAGTTAAGCCAGTGTTTCTCAAACTTTACCTTGTAACAAACGAAGGAAAAATTTTGGTGGACCTTTTACGTTAAAATTAAATTCTAATTTTCTTGTTGCAATACAAATAATGTAACGTTTATTTCAAAATTGTCAATATTAATTTGTACTATCGAAATTTAAGTTAATTTAAGTTAATTAAGTTCTTGTGTGCAAGTTTTTTTACTCCCCCTTAGTCGGGGGGTGGTCCTTTTTTGGTTAAAAAATTCGAAAAGCATTTTTGCTATGAAACGATAGATTGAAGTCTATAGAATACTGCACTATTTCATTTCTGGCGAATTGTAGGAGCCATGAAGGTTTGAAAAGTACAACGCGCAAAAAGAGCAATATACATTGGCACTGTTTGAATAGTTGCCAGTCAGACTTCAAACATGTTTTTCTCGATACCATATTTTTCGTTGAGCCAGGATGAATAGCTTGGACACTAATATTCGAATTGATTTCTTCCTCAAACAGAGCATTCCTTCGTTTTCATAGTATTTTTTTTTTTTTATAGTTGAACAATCAGTGAATTTTTCTCCCATAAAGTCGGATTTCTCTAAACACTTCCATTTTGTGGATTTTAATTTTTCATACCTCGTAGGATGGCTATATTTAATAAATATTAGATGGACCAGAAAGTAATGTTGTTTTGGCAATTTTAAATACTTGTTTATCATTCATCAACTCATTGATTTTTATCGATTTGGCATTGAAAATTTGCACACTAGATGGGAAAAGGCTGTTGACAACGAAGGCGATAAAATAATTAATTCAAAATATATATTTTTATATAGTTTCCAGTCTACCTAATGATATCGACAGTACTACTCATATTGTTGACGTATAAAAAATATTTTTCGTATCACGAAATCATATAAAATGAACAGAAAAATCTCCCAACGTGTTCGTTTCACCCTTCTCCTGAAATAAATTCCTGAACAATGCTTGCTACTCATCTGGAAAAATTATTACCCACTTCAACCGAGCTGCTGCAGCAAAACATGTAAATTCCTTATACTCGATCGCTTCACGTGCAATGTTTCGTGAAAATGATTTGGAGAGCACTTCGAGTTTCTTGTAAGTCAATCCCCTGGTACTAATTTCCTATGGAGAGCCATTACTCCCCCACTTGGACTCGCTTCTACGCGCGTCATCCACTTGTAGATCGCGCCACGATCACCTCCTTCGCAACATTCAATTAAACTATTTCTGCTTTTATGTAATTAACCGTCTTTTAAGACTACGACGAGTGGAGACGCACGGGGAGGATATAGTCTACGGTGAAGGAAGAGAGAGGAAATCGTTGAAGTAATTACTACGTAATGTAATTAGCATGAAAGTAACTGCCTCGGGAACTCGGTTTTCCCTCCTGCAGCGTGAAGAGGCACTTGTGTCCGCGTGCCACGTCGCTGGGACAATTGTAAACAGATATTTCGCGATATTTTCTTTGGCTGGTCCGCGTACGTGGACGCGCAGGCGTCGGCTGGTTGGCGGCAAAGCGTCGGGACGGCCGGCGTTCGCCAGTCAGTTGACGTAGCCGCGTCGTTCACGTAGCAATATGCTCCCAGTTCTCGCGATTTCGGTTTTCTGCATCGTGACATGGGCGTCCGCGCTGAACGATCCGTCACCAGGTAAATCAAGCATACGTAGGATTAGCTGGACTCTTGCGCACCGCTGTTCAGTGAGATTTGACATCACCTTTTCTTTCGGTTGCTATGTGTTGTAGATCGGTTATTCTGTTGATCTAAGACTGGCAGTGTTTGGGAAAAGAATTTTAGAAGAACTGTTTGATAGGATTTCAGGGAAGGATTCCCAAGGAAGTGTTTCATGGGTTCTTAGAAATTTAAGGAAAAATAAGTGACAGTTTACTGAGAAAGATTTTTAAGAAAAGTTACAAGTTCTGGGGAAGGAATTTGTAAAGAATTGTCAGTTGGTTTCTTAGGAAAGAATTTTGAAGTTTCTTAGGAACTATTCTACATAGAAATGACAGTTCCTTAGGAATGAAAACTCAAATGAAACCTGAAAGTTTCTTAGAAGAACGTACTGAAAATATTCTGACTTTCTAAAGAAAGTATCTTTGATGAACTGACAGTTACATAAAGAAGAATTCTCAATTAACTGATAGTTTCTAAAAGAAGAATTCTCAGAATTCTTGAAAGTTCTCTATGAATAAAATCCACAAAGGATTGGCGATTTCTCATGGAATATTCTCAAAGAAGTGACAGTTTGTTTGTAAAGACTTCTTTAAGACCTGACATTATCCTAAAAAACAATTTACAAGGAATCTTACGAGAGTGCCTGGAAAATTTCTTAAAGAATTAATAATTTTTTACGAAATGAATCTGCTAGAACTGACTGACAATTTCTCAGAAATGGATCCAGAAAGACCCTGTTACCTTGGTATTCTAATTTAACCCCTTATTAAAGGTTGCACTCAAGACGTTTAGACCTTATCAGAACTGTTTGACAGGTGTCTAGACAAAATTCCCAAACCGACAACTTTTAAGGAAAATAATCTACTAGGCCTGTTTGGCAGTATCTCAGTTAACACATTCGCGACCTGTACCGATCTAATACCAAGTACTGACGAAAATAATAAAATTTTGAAGCTGGACATCGCAAATTTTTATCGTTAGGGCGAAGATAATAATTATAAAATACGTTTTGAAATATCAACGTTGTAAATGTTAAGTGTATAAAATTAAAAGATTTTCATAATTTTTCACAACCAGGAATAGAACTGAAAGTGACGTGAGTTCACGTCAGCGGTCGCGAATGTGCTAAGAATCTTCGAAGACCAGTCCTTGTTTTTTTATTCCAATTTGTGCCTTCGTTAAGGGTTGCTCCAAGACGTCTACGGCTTATGATCGAGCCCAAACGCAATCAGGGTTTATGTCCAGTGCAACTGTGGAGTTTCGAGCGTGCGGTAGGCTCAAAGCGTTCGCGAGAAGGGCAGTTCCACACTATCTGATGCGACAAGTCGTGTCAGTGCTTCGTCATTTCTCTCTGGGATTGTCTTGCGAGGTGTTCCGTTCCGACGATCGTAAACTGACCGCTGATTAGTCTGGTTGCCGAGCAACGAACGTGGGCGGTTGTAAAGTTCATCTCGAGCAAGAGAAACAGAGGAAGATAAGACCAGTCGCTATTTCTTCATGTGAAATCTACGGTTGGGTATGAGATAGTGACAATATCGCCATGGCAGCCAGTCAGGCGTCTTCGTTTTCCCTCGATGTTTGCTATGCATAATCGTGTCTCGCGTTTCACTCCGACTCGTCAAGTGTTTGAACACGAGACTGTGCTGTGGGATGATCCTTCAGCCTTGTACCGATTTTGGCGTAGGCGAGTACTTTTGCGATTCCCTTCATCCTAATCTTCGGTTTCGCACCAACGAACCAACTCTCGCTAGGCATGCTGCCAACTTGTCTCTTCCTGTTTACTAATTCCCAAACTTCCGCAGCTCATCTTCCCGCACTACATCGTACCGTCGTTCATTAATTACTAATTTATTAACACAACTTCATCGACTGCTCGGTCCTTAATGGCGCCGCGGTGCTAATCGTCGTGCGAGCTCTGGTGGTTCTTTCCTTTGGAAGTTTCGTTTACGTGTCTGGTGCATTTTTTTCTTCTTTCCATCTAGGTGTACGTTTTCTCTTTCGATCCGCGACACCTCTTTCCTCCAGATGTATTGTAGATGTATTGTACTTGCAGTGACGTAAAGCTCTTTGCGTTCAACGTTACGCGTGATGAAACAGGTCAAGTACAATTACGCTTGAAGGAGTCTCGTTTTGAACGTCAACGAAATGAATTTTATCGATATAAGATTCTCCGTATGTCTTTTCTTCCTGTCCTTCATGGTTAACGTCACTGTACTCTCAGTGTATTCGTAGTGTATATTCGTTTTACATCTTTTATATATTTTAAGTTTTCTGTTTTATTTTGACATATTGTATTTCGTGCTCTGCGTAATTGCTACTTATTATTTTTTTAATACATATATTTGAAATGTGCTTTTTCAGAAATTTGTTTCTGTTGCAAAAATCTTAATTCCATTTAAATAGCATCATATTTTCTAATTCATACTGTTTATATATTGTTTAAAATGTACAATGTATAAATATGATATTTAAGATTAAACTTTCTAATAAGTATATAAAATCACCATGCGCAATTGCTACTTTTATACAATTTCCGTACCCCATAATTTTTAATCTACTCTGGCTAAGACCTCCGTCTCGTGTAAAATTCCATTTTTCATTTCGTTCCCTACCCTTAACTTTCTCTAATCTCGTACCATAATTATTACCAACAGCAATTTTTTCAAACATATTTATTCCCCGTTCAGTTTGTACGCTCCGCAAATTATTATACGTTGGTACCCAAACCAACAGCCGACTCGCCTGATAAAGTATTGAACCGTGCTCTGCGTATGCCACGATTGCTTATTCCGTTTGTCCCGCGGAGCGCAAAAATAAATTCATGGGCGGCGGGGAGGTTTCCCGTTTCAGGGGTGCCTTTGCCGTTTCCACCACTTCTCGCGAAAAATAGAAACGCTCGTCCGTTGTACGCGTGATAGAACTCGAGAGCGCCGATCGAAATCTTATCAGTCTCGCCGGATCTCTTTAATCGCCACCCCCGTTTTACTGCTTCGTATATAGTTGCATAAAATCCGCGTTAGTCTGGACTCGCGCACGACGTCGACGTCGCGAGATTGTGTTGTAAATTTAGCCTCGCACCCCCCCCCCCCCCCTCTCCCATCGATCCCAGGGCGATCGTGCCCGTTCGCGAAACTGTCTCTCGTTTAACATTTTCGGTGATCGACTTTCTAATCACGCGAGAATCCGTGTAAGGAAAGGGTACATAAATTACGCCACCCGAAAGAATTAGAGGCTTGAGTATCTGGACGAGTCTCGGGGCATGAATGAAATATTCGGAACGAAGGAGCAACGGTGTATTAGGTGCTGGAGTATTTTTGTAGTAGTGTCCTTGTACATTTCAAGTCGGATATAAAGTTATTTTTGTTGGCGATTCTGTGGTTATTATGACTGCATAGATTGTTTAAAGAAGTGCTCGATATTGCTAATCTTGTATCATAATGAGATGCGGAAAGGTAAAAAGGGTTTATAATAGAATCACTTTTAAATAGGGAAAATGTTGTTGACGGACCTGGTGATAAGAAAAATGGTGGTAATATTGATCGTACTGCCATTTATACAGGGTGCAACGAAAATGTTCCGAGTTTTTTGTCAGTCGTGCGTTGGTGGATACAATTAGGGTGACTGGAATATGAAGGATTGAATAAGTGTGCAGTTAATGCAGTATATTCTGTGTGATATATGAGCTGTTTATGAGCTGAAATTAATTACTAGGAATTTTAAAGCATCATTTTTTCCCTTTTATTTTTTATCTATAAATATGTACACAAACACGTCCATCTGTACCCACAAATAACACATCGATCGACACCAAACAAATAATCAAACTATTTTGTATTTAATACTTCCGATGGTTTAGTGAAGGTATATCCCGAAAGCGCACACGCTCCATGCGCCATAGTCGGATCAGAATCAATTGTCCACTCAATACCACTGATGGGTCATCCCCATCATACCGTTCGCTATTTTATCGCCCAACGCAGGTTGTTCGAAAAGTTTCAAAGTTCTAGGAAACGAAAAGTTTTTACTGCAAAACAAGTTATTCCACTTCTCGGGGAATCTTGTGTCTCTATACACAATTGCATCAGAAGGAACCACTCCTGGATCCTGTTACTCTGCTTCCTTTGACGCTGAGACTAGCTTTTCCCAAATTGAAACAACTGTGCATCCCGTCAACTTTTCATGGTTCGTGTCACCTTGTATGCAGATAATAATCAATTATCGTGCCTATTTGCTTTTGACGCAGGTTTTTAATTTCTTAGTATTCTTCTAGTAATTACGTCTAATTGCCAATGACACAGGACGTTGAGTGTCTCTTCTAAATTCTATACTGGATGAGTGATTACTGATTTATTCCAAAGTATCTTAATTTAGTCGACATTCACGTTTAAATACCCCGCATTAGGCTCACCCGACCACTTGCGAACAGTCTCTTCAGCCGAACCATTGTTTTCCTAAATAGCACTTTCTTATCCTCGGTCTTCAAAAGGGTACAAATTACTGGCGATTTAATTAATCTCATCTTCACATTTTAACGGTTGTATATAGGTTGGGTTTGCATAAACCTATCAAGTTTTAAAAGTTTGTGTCAAGTACTTTGACTTCAAAAACATCATGAAACCTGCCTCCACGCTGAATTAAAAAATCGTGTACCTCCTTGAAGCTCGTATTTATTTCAAGTTCCTAGTCAAAAGCATAGAATATTTTTAAACCGAACGTAATCTCGCCCATATCCCAAGACACTAATCACAGAATGCTCTTTGAGGCTTATCCATGACCGCGCAAGTTCCCAATGGCTACTGGAAATCGTCACGAACTTTCCAGACGACCCCCGGCGTATATATCACAACACGATCAACTACCGGGTGTCTTTGTAGGCTCCGAGACAGCACTAACTCCGCAGTCCGATGGTTCGGTTTATTGTGCGATCGCCATCTCCAGTTCATTACGTGGCAGAGCAGGACGAGCTTAGAATCGCG